ATTCATATATATATATATATATATATATATATATTAAATAATAATATTAAATGAAATATTAAAATGATAAATGATAAATAAAATGAAATATTACTATTGTTATTACTTATTTAATGTATTAAATATAGTTATAATTTTACATTATATTACAAAATTTATATGCTTCCAAATTATTAAAATACTATGCTATTATTATTCTAAAATAATATATAAACACATAAATATAAATAATCTAATATTTAAAATAATAAATATTAAATAGAGATATATTAATATATTAAATAATAATAATAATAAAGTATCTATATCAAACTACAAGACTACTAATTTATTTTACCCCAAAACATTATGAATTTAAATTACTGTGTACAATTTTATAATGTTGAAAAGTGAAAAATTAAGTAGAATTCACTTTAAGAATTCATCTTTTTACTCAACAAACTATAGGGCAGCTATAGAAATGAGAAAACTGAGGCATTGCTATAGAAATCCAATCCAACAGACAGGAAGTGTGTGGCCAAGCACAGAGTTGAGATCATACCCGTGTGGAGTCGTTGATCTCCATCTGGGCCAGCAGCTTGCCGTTGATGCTGAAGTTGCAGAACTGACCCCTGTCGTAGTAGATGATGCAGTGACCCTCACTGGACACTGAGATCAGGCGGGGAAGCACACAGCTGTCGGGGCCCTCCAGAGCCCTCAGAAGATCCCCAGTGATGGTGTGGACCAGACACGGCCCCTCTGACAAACAGACGTGTCTGATAAGAGACACTAGTGGAATCACACACTGCCTCTTCACTTCATATCCCACAATGCTCCTCTCTCACTCACCTTTTGCTCCACTGATTACAATTCCCAGCTCAGCACACACTGACACACACACCACCTCATAGTCATGACCGGTCAGAACCGCACGGGGAGCTGGGTAATCACCTGCAAATGAGCACAGGAAACACACACACACACACACACACACACATTACCCAGCAGTAAACATCAGCACAACAACACGAGACATACAGCAGAAAAAATACATATAAAAATGAATATAGGATTTTAATATAGGAGGTGTTCTAACCAGACTTTTAAGATTTTGTCTCAAGGCTTTCAAAATATAAAATTAACAATAAGAATAAGAATAGTATATGACGAAAAAATGTACCAAATTTTAAAATACAGAAGCATAGACTTTCAGGATTTTTACTTTTAGGATTTTTAATATTAAGAGAAATAAAAAATAAGTTAAAAACAAAAATAGAAAAAATATGCATATGGATAGATAGATAAATAGAAGCAAAATAAAAGATTATCATTAGTGGACTGTTAGGATTTTTAAATATAAAATGATGATGATGATGATGATGATGATGATGATGATAGCTATAACAGAATTTTAAATACTTTCAAAAAAATAAATAAAAGAAATTAAAAACAAATAGAAAAAAATAGAAGCATTCTCATTAGTCTTAGACTTTTAGGATTTTTAAATACAAAATAAATAAATAAATAATAATAATGACAAAAAATAGTTTAAAATAGTTAAAATAAAATAAAATAGAAAATACAGAAGCATAGACTTTTAGGATGTATACTTTTAGGATTTTGAATATTAAGCGAAATAAAAATACGTTAAAAACAAAAATAGAAAAAAAAACATAGATAGATAAATAGAAGCAAAATATAAGATTCTCATTAGTGGTCTTAGACTGTTAGGATTTTTAAATATAAAATGATGATGACAATAATAGATAAAACTAAAATTTAAATAATTTCATAAAATAAATTAAAAACATGAATAGGAAAAAAATAGAAGCATTCTAATTAGTCTTAGGCTTTTAGGATTTTGAAATACAAAACAATAATAATAGTAATAATAATAAATTATAACGAAATTTTGAAATAAGTCTCATGCTCACCAAGGCACAGTAAAAACTGTAAAAACAATAATACTGTAAAATATGACCACAAATAAAATAAAAAAACTGTTTTCTATTTGAATATATTTTAAAAAGTACTTATTCCTGTGATGTCAAAGCTGAATTTTCAGCATCATTATTCCAGTCTTCAGTGTCACACGATCCTTCAGAAATCTTACTATGCTGATTTGCTGCTCAAGAAACATTTCTTATTATAATATTTTGGTGGAAACCGTGATACTTTTCTTTTCGTGATGCTTTGATGAATAGAAAATGAACAGCATTTATTTAAAACATAAATCTTTTATAACATTAAAAATGTCTTTACTGTCACTTTTGATCAATTTAATACATTCTTGCTGAATAAAAGTATTAATACCTTTAAAAAACCTAATTTTTATTGACCTCAAACTTTTGAATGATAGTGTATGTCCAGTGATCTGTTAACCACGGAGATCAGATCACTGAGTAAATGAGTTAAACGAATTAACAAATCTTTCGGGTTTAGTGAACTGGGTGGTTTGTTGAGCTTATTCAGTGAATAAGGTTTCAATTTCAGTCTGTTCTGCATACAAATTCATCATATAACTTCATATGGACTATTTTTATGCTGCTTTAGTGTCCTTTATGAAGCCTGAAAGCCTTAGTCCTGATTCACTGCAACTGAATGGTAAAGAACAACCACTATAAACCTCCTTGAAAGAAAATTCTACAGTATTAGAATGACATATGACTCTAAATTAAACTGAATTTTTGATAACTTCTTTAATAACTTCAATAAACCATAAAGTTGTTCTCTGTTGATAAAATCCCGACTTTACACATATACGTACAGTCAGAGGGATTTCTAAAACAAAGCTAATAATATAGTACATAGAGACGGTTCATCCCATTAATTGAGATCTTTTCAATATTTAATTAACACTTAAGTTCATTAACATCCACATAATTAAGACACGTGCAATTACCTTGCATGCAGAGCACTATTAAATGAAGCCAGGAATCAATAGAATGACCGCTACAAATCCAGATGATTTTTAAAGTTGGCGAGCAATCAAAGATTACTCAGGCCTTGATCAATACGCGGTGTTCACTGCGTTCTCCACAGGGGCCTGTCTGACAGCGCTAAGCCCAGCTGTCAGTGATCTGGGTGGGGACGTGTATCAACACCGGATCCCTCGGGAGATCCCAGATCACCTTCATCACAATAGATTTAATCAGTCCGCACCCGGGCCCTTCTAAACCCTCGCACTAAACCCCAGCGGTACAGCGACACAATTAAGAGGTGTAAATTGGAGAGCGGCTGCTGGGGTCGTGAAGCACCGGGGCCTTGATTGAGCCGGACGGGATTTTAATCATTGCACATTTAAGACACACTCCGGCTTTCTCAGGCTACTGTGAAATCAATTTCTACACCATGTCGGAGTGCCTCAGGGGCCGGTACTGGGATATCTGCTGAATATTCATGGATGTTCCTGTCCCGACACTCTCCATTCAGAGACAGATGAAAAAAGTGCAGTGTGGGGAAGCTTGACGAAGCACAGCTGAACTTATCATTAACATAAAAACACACGCTGATGAGGGTTTGTTTTTCTTTACCGCTACACTGATATCGTTTTAACAACCTCAAAGAGTTTTGGGTATAAGTCTGGAATATATAATGAGGGAAAATAAAATACTTTTGCATTAAATGAGCGCATTCCACTTTAGTGTGCATGTGTGTATAACTGTGAAAATGTTGCCTCAGGTCAAAGTCTTTCCTGCAAAAACGGTTATTTACTGCATACTTATGAAAGCATAAGATCAAAATAAAGAAAAGAAAAAAGGCTTTACAATTAAATTTCTATGTAGAAATATATATATATATATATATATATATAATTGTATATATATATATATATATATATATATATATATATATATAACAATGGGGGAAAAACAAACAAAACTTAAACAAGAAAACTAGTCCGCCAAAAGGGCCGTTCCCATTTCTTTCGGCCCAATTTTTCGGACAATTTTGGACATACTACTACTACTACTACTACTACTAATTATTATTATTATTAATAATATTACTATTAATAATAATAATAATATAAATTATTATTATTATTAAGCTGTTCCAATAAATACTTACATAACGTGTTCATTAGTATTACTCAAAATAGACTCAAAAAGTAATTAAATGCCATTGAAATCATTACATTATTATATTGCATGGCATAATGACACCGGATTGGTACTAGATTGGTGTACCATGAGTTTGATAAAGTTAACAATGTTAGGCTTATTCCTCATTATATATAAATTGTTCTTTGTTCGTAATTCCCTCCAGTTTGAAGCATACAGACCATTAGTCTCCTTTGTGAGGGCACACAGTACGCAGTTGTGTGTGAATATCATGGGAGTTTTGTTTCCCGAGCTTTGAAAACAGGAGCGGGGCTGTACCTCGCTAATTGGAGGCAGTCGAGCTGAAATCCTTAATTAACTCTCTGAGCATCACTGAAGTTAATTAGAGAACACGCTCACCTAAACCACAGCTCATGACATGTAGAAACAAGGACAATACATCTAATACACATCAGCGGTGCAAATGCACAGATATCTTTGCAAAACACACACAAAAGCAAGCACAGACGTGCAGACTTGTTTTCTTATTAACATGTTTGCAGCTCATGTTAGAAAAACAGCTTTCTGGATTCAGTAGCAAGGAATCCTGGAACAATTAGGAGCTGTAATGCCTTCATTTGTTATGCAATTATAGCTTTTGTTAGTACAGTGATTAATATAAAAATGAAAAAATAATATTATGTTGCCTAGTGCGTGAGCTTTTATAATCTCCTCCATTATTAATGTAACATCTAATATTAATGTCTGTTCTTGCATGATTGTATAATGTAGTATGCCTAATATTGAGGTAATTGTGCTTAAAGGAATAGTTCACCCAATAATAATAATGACTCATATTTTAGCCAGAAGCAACAATTTGAAGTTAAAAACATCCTAATGATGGATTTGTTTATTACAAACAAGCAGCTTTTTGCTTCACAAGATATTGTTGCTGTGTTGTGAATTATTGTGATGTTTTTATCAGCTGTATGGACTCTCATTCTGACGGCACCCATTCACTGCAGAGGATTCAATGATGAGCAAGTGATATAATGCTAAATTTCTCTCACAACTCATCTCTTGGGTGAGTCAATAAGCAAATTTTCATTTTTGGGTGAACTATTCCTTCAGGTTTAGTTGCTACTCACTGTTGTTAGGGTTGTCTCCTATGATATGGTGCCGCCCACTCCAGTACCAGAGCAACAGAGTGGCATCTCTGGATCCCGACACAATGTAGCAGTCACCACCGATGTAAGACTCTGAGCGTGCCAGACATGTGACCACGTCCCAGTGACCGAACACTATCTGAGTGAGCTTGCCTGCAAACAAACATACAGCATTTACCTTTTGTCCCTCAAAATTCAAAGCTCAAATATGTTGGTCGGACCAATAAACAATACAGTATCTTGGCCACTCATTTCAATGTTTGTGGAATGTATCCAAAATTACAAAAAGAACAATAAAAGTATCACAAAAGTGAACTATAAGAGTCTTTCGATGTTTCATGAGAGTTCTAGAAAGAAATGGATTTGTGAGCAAAATCTTTTAATGAATCAGTTGACCCGGTTAAAATAACCAATCTAAATGATTCATTCATGATTCAGAGTTCAACTCTTATCCAGACCTGACCTATGGCTTCAGAAGTATAACATACAGTACAAGTCATATGGACTACCTTCAGGATACTTTGATTTAAGGTGAGTAAACGATGACAACATGTAACATTGTGAGTGAATAATTCCCTTAACGTTCAGTGAGTGCGTCTTACCTGTGTCTGAAGAGTAAACACGGAAACTCTTGTCCCAGAAACCACACACCAGGATGTAGCGGTTATCAGCCGTCACCACAAAACACTGAGTGTTGATCTGAATGCTCTGGTCAACCAGGTCAGTGATTTGTCGTTTGTTTGTGCCTGAGTTGTTAGCTGGAAGAGACATGTTTACAGAGCTCCTTCAAACATGATGCTTGGAACTGAGGTTCATCAGACCAGAGAATCTTGTTTCTCGCAGTCTGAGGGTCCTTTGGGTGCTTTTTTTGCAAATTCCAAGTGTTTTAATGTGAGGAGAGGATTGAGTCTGGCCACACCGGCATTAAGCACAGATCAGTGGAGTGTTGCAGTGATGTTTGTCCTTCTGTAGGTTTCTCCTATCTCCACATATGATCATGGAGCTCAGCTAGAGTGACCATCAGCTTCTTGGTCACCACTCAAATCAAAGCCCTTCTCCATCAGTTGCTCAGTTTGGCTGAGTGAGGGGCCGGTTGCATAAACGGTTTAGACTAGTCTTAAAAAGTTAGTCAACTAATTGTTTTTCTTCAAGACTGGTCATAGCTTTTTAAATTCAGTTATGAAAAGGTAGATTGGTCTTATTTGTATTGGAAAAGTAAGACTGATTACCCTTTGGCAACTGCTAGTTGGTCAAACTATTTTTTAAGACAGTCTTAAGATGGTGGCTAAGTTTATGCAACTGGCCCCAGCTCTTGGAAGAGTCCTGGGGCCAGTTGCATAAACTTAACCACCATGTTAAGACTGTGTCTTAAGAACTAGTTTGACCAACTAGCAGTTGCCAAAGGGTAATCAGTCTTTGCCAATACAAATAAGACCAATCTACCTTTCATAACTGAATTTAAAAAGCTATGACCAGTCTTGAAGAAAAACAATTAGTTGACTAACTTTTTAAGACTAGTCTAAAAAGTTTATGCAACCAGCCCCTGAAATCAATCGACTTACAAAAAAATTAAATAAAAGTATAATTTATTGCAATACAAATTCCAAAGTTTGGATATGCTAAGATTAGTTTTTTTTTGTGTATAAAATGTACAAGTTCAGCGTTTACCTTCTTTACTAAAGCTAAAGCATGTGACTTTATTGCAAATATGATGACACTCCCCACATCTGCTATTAAGCAGACAAATGGATAGTCTCACCACAAACTCCTGCTATAGGATAAATCAAAGTTGCTGTGTCGATTTAGTTGGGATATTCTTCAAAACAGAGCAATAGAGGGACACAGTGTTGCACTTTTCATGGAAACAAATCTACTGTACAAACAGATAACTTCAATTAGTTATGAATGGGATAGAAGAAAGTATTTTAACAACAAAAAATGTCAAACCCACCAATTAGTGAGTCCATCTCGATGGGGAGGTGATGGGCCTGCTCTAGTGAATATCCCGGAGCTCCTCGAAGACCTACATACACACAGCCAATAAAAGAAATCAAAAACACACCATTCAGTACCTGGAAAACCCCTTCCTCAGTATTTTTGTCTTGTTTTTCAGTAAATATATCTAGTTAAATTTTCTTAAATCAAGATACATTTACTTGAAAAGCAAAATTACTTACATTTAGTTTTTTCTAAAAAAAATAATAATAATAAAAAAAAATTAAGTGACTCTATGCTTAAAAACTCTATGCTAAAAACAAATCTGCCAATGGGGTAAGAAAAATAAATTGAATTTAAAGGAAAAAAAAAACTCTGGTCCCATTTGGCAGACTTTTTTTCTTCTTGTTTTAAATATAAAGCTGCCTAATTTTGATAACATTTTTTTCAGAAAACAAGACTTGTTATCTTATGGCATAGAATAGAAACAGAATAGAGAGAGTGTTAGAGGGTCATTATTATTATTTTTATTAATAAATAAAAAGAAAACCAGTAATACAAATAGAAAGAGAGTGCTAGTGTTAGAGGGTTAATTTTTTTATAGTAAATAAAAAAAATAAGTAGATAGAATAGAAACAGAATTGAGAGTGCTAGTGAGGGTTATGTTTTTTGTAATTAATAAAAGAAAACAAGTAGATAGAATAGAAATAGAATAGAGTGTGCTAGTGTTAGAGGGTCAAGTTTTTTTAATAAATAAAAAGAAAAACGTAGATAGAATACAAAGAGAAAGAAAGAGCTAGTGTTAGAGTGTTACAGTAAGTTATGTTCACCAAGGCTGCATTTATTTGATCAACAATACAGTAAAAAAAGTAATATTGTGAAATATTGTTATTTTAAATATTTTAAAAATATATATTTTATAATATATTTAAATATTTCAAATGTAATTTGTTACAGTAAGTTTTTTATAATAAATAAAAAGAAAACAAGTAGATAGAATAGAAACAGAATAGACAGTGTTAAAGGGTCAAGTTTTCTTTTTTACTATTTTGAAATATTTGTACTGGAAAACAAAACAAAAATCCGGAGAAATAAAATAATTTTTGCTGTGACACCCTCACAAATTTCTTGCCCGGCCTCCACAGTCAAGTCCACTTCCTGACCCCGTCCCATATGACATGAGGGCTTTATGGAGACCCACCAGTCAGATCTCCATGGTGCTTATTGATTTCTCTCCCTCTCCAGTGTCAGGCAGGCCTGAGCTATAGCACCCTTGAGGCAGGCCTACAGGCACAGACCGCCATTTTCACTCAGCGTGGCAGCCTTATTATGTTCATTATTTGGTGGGACCAACACACACTCACGGCTGGAGAGGGCTGGTCCTGCAGCTGCAGCCATTAGTAGTGTGAGAGAGCGAGGTTGCCACGTTTGGTCCTGACATCACTATGTGTTGCTGTGACAGCTGGGGAGGTGTGAAGCGAAAGGAGAGGCCGTGATAGGCTAATTTAGCCCGTCGCCACGGCGCCCGACCTCTGACCCGCAGGTGAGGGGGGCTCCGGGGGAACGACTAGTTGGTTAATGTTGTTCACACATGGCCAAGTGGTAACATGTGGAGTGTAGCTGCTTTTTGTTGCCGTTTTTTGTTGATTTGCAGGTGAAATCAAGCTATTAGCTGGTTAGCTAGTACACACAGCGATTCCCACTCACCCACGGTGTTATGCCAGTGGTTGACGGCGAAGAGTCGGCTGCAGGTGATGGTGACGACGGCGGGGAGGGTCAGGTGCGGCAGTGTGTTGGCGGCCACGTGAGTGACGGGAGAATTGGAGGGAAACTTTAGCACCATGATGACATCCTGCTGCATCTGATCCTTAATTTTCAGCATCAATACTTCTGTGTCACATGATCCTTCAGAAATCTCACTAATATGCTGATTTGCTGCTCTAGAAACACATCTTACTATCAATGTTGAAAAAAATATTTGTAATATTTTTGTGGAAACGGTGATACATCTTAGGATTCTTTAATGAAAAAGAGCTCAAAAAAGAAAAGTATTTCTTTTAAAAAGAATATTTTTGTAATAAACAAAGTCTACTGTCATTTTTGATCAGGGGCGTAGTCATAATTTCAGAAGTGAGGGGGACAGAAATGTAAAATGCTGATTGATTGATTGATTGATTTATGACTAACTGACAAAGAAAATCTATTTTCTTATCTCTTACTTTTAATTGGTTAAGAAACTTCAACACTCTGCTGGACAATAACCAATAATCTGTATTTTATAATATTTGTGCCTATATTTTTCTAATTGCAATTTTATGATTGGTTTATATACTACAAACACTTTTTCCATTTTTAATCACAGAATAAGGCAGAAAATATATTTCATAGTTTCTGTGCTGTAATAAATGATATGTCAATTAGCACTGCATTATTCATATACTATACATTTATTTATTATACCTGGACTGGAGATGACTTGAAAAAACCACATAAACCATATATTGTCGCAATTGTGCATTTATTGTCTTCACGTTTCATCGTCAAAACGTTTATGTACTTTCTATGAGGCTTAGCTCCAGCGATTACTAGATGCCAAATTGTCATAAGTCATTATTGCTTCTCTGAGTCCGTTTTGGATTTTCAGTGCGAGAGCGCCCTCTGGCTTTGAGTATGAATGAAACATACAGTGCAGGAGAGTGTTTAGCGCGCCATAATGTTCACATCGTTTTGTTTACTAATAAGTATACAAGTACACGACTACGAACAACTATTCAAAACAATGTGACTATCTAGTCTCTTTGAATTTAAATCTAGATTTATTCGCACTGGCTCTTGAAAAACTCTTGCCGAAAAAAGTGCAAGGGACGAATTTACGTTTCATTAAAAGTGGGAGGATGAAAAAAAAATCTTACTGACCCCAAAAATATAGTAAAATATAATAAAATATAATAAAATAATATAGTCTGGATAAAAACACTTTAAACTGACGTTACAGTGGTGAAACTCTGCAATCTGCGATAATTTAAAAAACCTGTTTTACTCTGATTTGAGGAGCATTTCATTACGGACATCTTTGGCAACCACAAACTTTGACGGTGAAACTTCTAGCAGTAGGCTGCACACAATTACTTAGAAATATAAACAAGCGCTAATTATAAAACTCGTATTGACAGCATTACAACATTCACTTTGTAAACTCCAGTCTGATTGTTATGACAGATGCTTGATTGAGATGGGAATGATTAGTATTGAAGTGTGAGGACTTATATAGCCAGTAGAGAGCACTGTTCTCCTGACACAACTATCTGAGGAGACTCTGTGATGGAGTTGTGAGCTCCTGTAAGTATGGCAGGTCTGTGTGTCATGTATTTGTGTTAGGGCATGTGTGTGGCTCTGTGAAGGTTGTTGTACACAGAACCAGTGACTACCTGGAAGTAGCAGCAAGTGGGTGCAAGTAAGGAGAACACTACAAACTGGATAACGCCTACAGTACAATTACAAAGAGGAAATCAATAGAAATGGCCTGGATTTGTTTATGAGTGTGTGTGTGTATATAAATATATTTAATATATAAACGTAACATTTTTCTTAAATATATACATGCATGTGTGTGTATTTATATACATAATAAATATACAAAATTCACACACATATGTAAACAAAAACTTTTATTTTGGATGCGATCGTTTGACAGCACTAATATATATATATATATAATTTATTTATTAGTTTTTTAAAATAATTTTAAAATAATAGAACTGCGCCTTTTTTGGTTTTCATCAAAAAAAACCCACAAGGATTCGGTTTTTTGTTTTTACATTCAGGGGGAGAAATAAAGCTTGAATATTGAATATTGCAAATTCTTTCATTATGGTTTCGTGAACCATCTAAACAAACCGATTTACTTTGGCCTTACCAACACTACATATGAGAGGAAGCAAAAAGCAAATCATTATTGCATTGCTCGGGTTGTGTGTTCAATTCAACAATACATTAAAACCAGTGATTAAGCATTTTGTCCCTGGAAAGAGTTAACTTTTACTGGAAAAAATTCTAACGCAGTTAAATTAATAGATCTGAAATGTAGTTACAATAGCACTAACTATTTTTAACACTTATCACACTGCAGATTGAACTAAACTTCAACATGGCTGCTGCAAAAGTTCTGGACATATAGATGAGAGACTGTTGTGCTGGGTTTTGGGGAACGGTCCGAAGGTCAGGCATTACTGCCCTTGTTCAAAATAATAACTTCCCTACTGCCGGGCAGAAAAAAACCCACAACAAATACGCACACATTAATTTTATTACACACTCTGACACACGCTGTTCTCACCAGGTGCATGGCGGAGCTACGGGGAGGATGTGGCTCGATGAGCAACTGAGATGGCGTCTGTCCAACATTTTGGATCTGAGCCTCGGTGGCCTGCAGCAAAAGAGAGAGAAAGATACAGATGAAAGAGAGGAAGAGATAGATGGAGGGAGGGAGGAGAGAGAGAGAGAGCGCGGCCTGTCAGTATTGATACGCATCAAAGTGATGGGTCAATGCGTTACTTGACAATGCAAGCAAACCCCCTTCAGGCCAGCCTTGTCGTGGAGGGGTTGGTTAGTGACCATGAGTGGGTGAGTAAGTTCCAAAACCCACCCCAAACTACCCCCACCCTGCCCCCTTCAAAGCCTGCAGAGTCATCCAAGTGTTAGTATGGAAGAGACAAGCCTTTCCTTATTAACATGCTTCAGTTAACCGTTCCCATTTCCAGGAGCAGGGTCCCCGTACAACCCCCCTTCGGCAAGCAGACGTTAACCTGGACTGACACACAGCCAGGACTGCGGCAGAACCCTCCCTCTTAGATGTTATTGTGCCCGAGACAAAGGGCAGAAAGAGCACACACACACATACACACACACTGACTCTACAATATACAATAGGAACAGGACTATTAATAATAGTACTAATACTAATGATGCATTAAAGATCACAAACGCACCACAGGAAAGATAATACCGTAAAGCGAATGATTACATCCTTTTTTGAGTCTAAAGCACACTTATAAATCGTTATGATGTAATTTATATTTAGGCATTTAGCAGATGCTTTATCCAAGGCAACTTACAAATGAAGAACATCAGATGTTTCAAGAGCTAGTTGTACAGAGGCTGGAGTAGAAGCTGTATAAAATAAATGTACAAAAATAATCATATACTATATAATAATTAGTGTATATATGTATATATACATGTATATATTTCAGAAAAATATGTTATGTTTATATATTAAATTATAAATTATATGACTATAAATATATACATGTAAATATTTTCAAAATATATACTGTATGTGTGCGTATTTATATATACATAATAAATATACACAGTACACACACATATATTACGTAAACAAAAACTTTTATTTTGGATGCGATTAATCGCGATTAATCATTTGACAGCACTAATAATAATCTTATAAGCACTATATACTGTAGACAATTCTAATAATCCTTATTCACAAGTCTGTCAATGTTAATTGTCAATTCTTGCAAAAATCACTTGAATTTGGAATTAAAAATGTAGAATCTGACATTTAAATTTCTCAGATTTTAATGCATTTCAAAAGTATCATAGTTTCCAACTCGTAGCTTCACATGAAACTGTTAAATTCATAATTGGGCAACTGCCATAAATTACAAAGTTTGGGGTAATACACACACACACACACACACACACACACACACACATTTATTCAGCAAAGATGCATTAAATTGAGTAAAAAAACGGTAATGATATTTATAATGTTACAAATATTCTATTTAAAGTAAATGGTGATCTTTTGAAGTTTCTATTCATCAAATAATCATGATAAAAAGGTAAAAAAGATATCACGGTTTCCACAAAAAACATTAATCTGTGCATCGGTTTCAACACTGATAATAATAAGAAATGTTTCTTGAGCAGCAAATTTGAATGATTTCTGAAGGAACATGTGACACTGAAGACTGGAGTAATGACTGCTGAAAATACATTTTAATGTATATTTATATAGAAAATAGTCGAGTCGAATTGTAATAATATTTTACAATATTACTGCATTTTTGATCAAATAAATGCAGAATTGGCGTGAGACTTCTTTTAAAAACATTTTAAAAACCTTACAAACTCAAAACGTTTCAACAGTATTCGGGAATTTGACATGTGCTACAGTGTAACATGTTTTAAACCCTTTAAAAAAAGTTTACTTGACCTAATGTTACTATTACACAATAAGATTTACTTTTGCCTTTTATATGATATGAGCCATAAACTCAAATGAAGAGTAAAAGAAAGGACAGAAACCCATTCATCCCTCACGTTATGTAACGCTGACAGACGCATGTCGCCGTGTGTTGTTATTGATAGGCTGTGTGTTTGTGTTTGTGTATGTGTGTGGAGCGTGTGCGTGTGTGCCACTGTGCACGGTAGCATTGACAGACACCTACAAGCTCCCCTCGGCTGTTCTGAGGCTCTGATCCCATCAATCTTTCCTTCCCGCGTGGAGCGCCTCCCACAGTCTAACAGAACAGCTCGCCCTCAGCGCTCTGAAGCCTGGACGCTTGTGTCAGATCAAACGTCTGCTTTATCCATGTCACCACACCGGCCAGATCTGCATGTTAAACCTGTCACATGATCTGCACTGCAAAAAATGATTTTCTTACTTAGTATGTCTTGTCTTCCAGTAAAAATATCTACAGTAAACATGCCTAAATCAAGAAACACTTAAGAATACAAATAGACTTAAGATATTATGTCTTGTCTGAAAAATTTAGCAACATTAAGTTAAAAAAAAAAGTAATTTTATGCTAAAAACAAGAAAAAAACATCTGCAAAAGGAGTAAGAAACTTCATTCAAAGGGAAAACAAGATTTTTTTTATGCAAAAAAAGGAGAGAGAGAGATAGAATCAAACGTCTGCTTTATCCATGTCACCACACCGGCCAGATCTGCATGTTAAACCTGTCACATGATCTGCACTGCAAAAAATGATTTTCTTACTTAGTATGTCTTGTCTTCCAGTAAAAATATCTACAGTAAACATGCCTAAATCAAGAAACGCTTAAGAATACAAATAGACTTAAGATATTATGTCTTGTCTGAAAAATGTAGCAACATTAAGTAAAAAAAAAAAAGTAATTTTATGCTAAAAACAAGAAAAAAACATCTGCAAAAGGAGTAAGAAAAGTAAACTTCATTCAAAGGGAAAACAAGATTTTTTTTTATGCAAAAAAAGGAGAGAGAGAGATAGAGAGGGAGAGAAAGAAAAGAAAAGAAGGGGAAAAATTATATTTTTAAGATATATTTTTCTTATAATATCTTATGTCATTCTGCTTTTCAAGTCTTGATTTAAGAATGTTTAGATATGTACTGTAAAATAAGACACTTTTTTTTTTTTTTGCAGTTTACACGATTAGAACTGGAACCATTCGGAATTCTAAACTCTAAATTCAAAAATTTGAATGTTGCATTCACAATGTTTATATTAGTGCTGTCAAATGATTAATCGCGATTAATCGCATACTTCTAACTTTCTTATTGTTTTTTATTTTTCATCTTCCAAAGATTTTCACTTTAAAGTTACCACTAAATAAAAAAAATAAAAAAAATCTTAATTCATATTAGTCTAAATTTGTTCTCAATAAATATCCTATTTCACTTACAGAATTAAAATGGTGTGCAAATGATTTTTCACACTGACTTCAAAGCAGATTGAAAGCAGTGAAACAAACCTGCAGAATGATAATCATTAGTGCAACTGAGATGAGAGGAACCGAGGATAGTAGCTCTCACTGAAATATTTCAAATAGGAACAGATCATCAAACTTAAACGATATCATCTTGGCCTGACCCTGGTGGCAAATTCAGCACAAGCAGAGCTCTCACGACTCAGCGCAATCACATTTGGTAACAATTAAATGTCAGTCTGTGCTGCTTTACGATGCTGTCTGTCAAATAATAATGCGCTCACATTATAGCTATTTTAGGTTCTATATTTTATTATTTTTTTTAAATCTTACTGACCCGTACTATTATATCTCAGAATTACATATCAGCACTTTAACATCCAGAATGTAATGTCCAGAAAAACATCCTGCATTTATAGCAACTGTACCTTGTTATACATCCAATTCTGAGAGGTTATGTCTAGAGTCAAAGCTGACGCTACCTGCAGAATGATAATCATTAGTGCAACTGAGATGAGAGGAACCGAGGATAGTAGCTCTCACTGAAATATTTCAAATAGGAACAGATCATCAAACTTAAACGATATCATCTTGGCCTGACCCTGGTGGCAAATTCAGCACAAGCAGAGCTCTCACGACTCAGCGCAATCACATTTGGTAACAATTAAATGTCAGTCTGTGCTGCTTTACGATGCTGTCTGTCAAATAATAATGCGCTCACATTATAGCTATTTTAGGTTCGACTCAGGAACAGGGGTCACAATGTCTGCTCAAATAATGTAATCTGATCTGAAGATCTGAGAGAAACAGGCAGCCATGTGGAAAGTATCACTATATTTCTGCCTTCCAACAGTGAGGAAAAAACGAGGGGAAAATTCCTTCTAAAAGTCCAGAAATATGAATATAAATGGTCCATATCAAGAACAATATATATACAGTACCGCTCAAAAGTTTGGGGTCAGTTCGATTTTTTAATGTTTTTAATTTTTTAATGGAACAAAGTCTCTTATGATCTTCAAGGCTGCATTTATTTGATCATAAATACAGTAAAAATGAAAGTAAATGTAAAATAACCGTTTTCCATATTATTATACTTTAAAATGTAATTTATTCCTGGCCAAGCTGAATTTTTAGTAGCCATTTCTTCAGTCTTCAGTGTCACATTCATTCTAATATGTTGCCTTGGTGCTCAAAAAACATTTCCTATTATTATCAATGTTGGAACCAGTTGTGCTGCTTAATATTTTCATGGAAACCGTAATTGATACAACATTTGATACAACCAAAATACAAGTATTATTAAACTGAATGTAATGTAATATAAAAAAT